TTACTGAAGGCCAGGTATAGTGGTCCACACCTATAATCCTAGCACTTTGAGAGGCCAAGGCAGGTGGATCACTTGGGGTCAGGAGTTTGAGACCAGCCTGACCAATGTGACAAAACCCCATCTCTATTAAAAATACAAAAATTAGCCAGATGTGGTGGTGCCTGCCTGTAGTCCCACCTACTCAGGGGGCTGAGGCAGGAGAATCACTTTCACCTGGGAACTGGAGGTTGCAATGAGTCAAGATTGTGTCCACTGCACTCCATCTGGGCAACAGAGTGAGACTCTGTCTCAAAAATCAAATCAAATCAAATCAAATAATAACATAAAATAAAATAAACCTACGGAGCATCCACTTGTGCCAAGCACCATTCTAGGTAAGGGATACAGTGGAAAATGAGATAGACAAATTGAGAAAAAAGAAATAGGATCATTCCTTCTTCATTCCCCAATATTATAGAACTAATTCAGGCCTATTAATGAAACAACTTAGGGCTATGAAAATGTAGTGTGCATAGGCTAACACAGGCACATGACAAGCATTTACGGAAAAGTCCACTTTGGTGTTCGATCACCAGTCTCTACCAGCAGCAATTGGCAATGAACATGGCTTCTGCACAGGCTCAAAAAGAGAAGTGAGAGAGTCAGTGCTTGGATGGGGCACATTCACTGGGCCTTCGTCGAAACGCTTAGAGAGACACTACCTCTGAGCGGCTTTCTGGAGAAACCTCAACCTCCTTCCTGAAAGGGCAAGCCAGGCTGAACACCTTCAGTAGATAGTCATTTGTGGGATAATCCATTACCATCTATTTGCGCTATAGGAAAAGCAACCTTTTGAGAGAGGAGAACTTAGGACAGGGAAGTTTTGCTAGGCACAGGGACTTTGAATTCTGGGGACTTCCCGGTCCCGGGGATGACTTGCAGCAGTGGGTGAATCATGATGGCCACTGATGTCTACTGCATGTGCACTGAGCCTCCCGGCCACTTCACTGCATAGATTAGCTCTGAGAAGTCCTGAAACCTACCCGGTAGGTACTTTTTCTCCCTTCTGTGTTTATAGATGAAGAAACAAACAAGTGAACTCACAGAGCCAACAAGTAAGGGAGCTGGGATTCTTTTTATTTATTTATTTATTTATTTATTTTTGAGACGGAGTCTCGCTCTCTCGCCAGGCTGGAGTGCGGTGGCGCGATCTCGGCTCACTGCAACCTCCGCCTCCTGGGTTCAAGCAATTCTCCTGCCTCAGCCTCCTGAATAGCTGGGACTACAGGCGAGCGCCACCATGCCCAGCTAATTTTTGTACTTTACAGTAGAGACGGGGTTTCACCGTGTTGGTCAGAATGGTCTCGATCTCTTGACCTTGTGATCTGCCTGCCTCAGCCTCCCAAAGTGCTGGGATTACAGGCGTGAGCCACCGTGCCCAGCTGGGAGCTAGGATTCTAAGCCAGTAAGCCTGACTCCAGAGCCTGAAGCCTTCTTCTCCCTCTGCCTGCATCTCTGGGCCCCAGGTGGAGAAGGAGAGCTAGACTACTGTAGTGTCCTTTGTATGCCCAGGCCTCAGCACCCAGTAGGTGACCACATGTATTGAAATGAACAATGACTCGAAGAGCACTGTCAAGGACAACCTTTTCCTACCACAACCCTTCTTCACGGAGCTCACCTGGGCCTCGCCCCTCCCCATCCCCACATTTCCGCTGAGTATAGAGACCGACCTTATTTGCCTAACTTTGGAATCTGACCTCTGGCCCATAGCCATACTGGGCTCTGCCGCCTTTTATACACAAAGCCTTTGTCTTCTTAGGAAAATGACCAGGTTCTGCCCATAAAAGTATCCAGCCTGAAAGGAAGGTGGGGAGAGATTGCATCATGGAAAATTGTAGAAACACATTTCTTTGTATTTGAATACTTACAGGACCTCACTTTTGGCAGCAAACCGACTGGGTTAGACCCCAGCATCCTTAGCCTTTTTGTGCCATGGACCTCTTTGGTATCTGATGAAGCCTATGGGCTTCTCAGAATAGATTTTTTTAAGTGCACAAAATAAAATACAGAGAGCAATGGGAATAAATTATATCAAAATAGGGTTTATGAAAATATTTGTGATATTACATGATATGTTTTATTGGCACGTTAAATAACAAGATCCAGAGTTTGGTCTAATTACTGTAATTCTGAGGTAATGATGAGCAAAAATGATATCTCAAGCTGTCTGTAACAGCTGTAGTGTAATATGAAAATATCTGTTATTTCCGTTGGTAACAAAGTAACAGGTGCTGCTAATGAGGTTTGTTCCCAGCAACATTCACCATGGAAGGAAATGCTTAATTCAATGAAAGGTTAGGGAAAAATCAAGATGTAATCTTACTCCTCCCCATCTTTCCCGAATTTTTTTTTTTTTTTTGGCATGGTCTTGCTCTGTTGCCCAGACTGGAGTGCAGTGGCACAATCATTGCTCACTGCAGCCTCAACCTCCCAGGCAATCCTCCCACCCCAGCCTCCTAAGTAGCTGGAACCACAGGTGTACACCACCACGCCTGGCTAATTTCTTTATTTTTATTTTATTTTATATATTTGTTTATTTATTTCAGAGGGAGTCTCACTCTGTTGCCCATGCTGGAGTGCAGTGGCGCTATCTTGGCTCACTGTGAGCTCTGCCTCCCGGGTTCACGCCATTCTCCTGCCTCAGCCTCCCAAGTAGTTGGGACTACAGGTGCCCGCCATCATGCCCGGCTAATTTTTTGTATTTTTAGTAGAGACCGGGTTTCACCATGTTAGCCAGGATGGTCTCAATCTCCTGACATCATGATCCGCCTGCCTTGGCCTCCCAAAGTGGTAGGATTACAGGCATGAGCCACCATGCCCGGCTGTTTTTATTTTTTTAGTAGACATGGGGCCTTGCTATGTTTCCCAGGGTGGTCTCAAACTCCTGAGCTCAAGCAATCCTCCTGCCTTGGCCTCCCAAACTGCTGGGATTATGGGCGTGAGCCATCATGCCCAGCCCACTCTCCCATGTTAAAGAGTTCCAGTCCTCGTTAGCCCAGGCCTGGGATTTCCGTTCTAATGCCATTATATCCCTGGCTTATGTTTGTGACAGGGAAGACCAATTAGCAAGTATGCAAATGATGGTTCCCTTAGGATGTCCCCTGGCAAAGAGTTGACTCCTCCAGTGTCAAGGTGGGAATTAATGGTTTATAAAAGTGATGTTCCCAGTAGTAGGCCCTCCAAGAACGCTTGCTATGTGCCTATGTGCTTGTCCTTGTGAGAAAAGCACTATCTGTAGTATTTCACCCCATCCCCAGGTGAGCTAAGTATGGTTACCCTTTTCACGGATGTGGAAAATGTGGCTGAGAGATGAGAAAGAGCTCAGGAGATCGAGACCATCCTGGCTAACACAGTGAAACCCTGTCTCTACTAAAAATACAAAAAATTAGCTGGGCGTGGTGGCACGCGCCTGTAGTCCCAGCTACTCAGGAAGCTGAGGCAGGAGAATCACTTGAACCTGGAAGGCAGAGGTTGCAGTGAACCAAGATCGTGCCACTGCATTCCAGCCTGGGCGATAGAGCGAGACTCTGTCTCTAAATAAATAAATGAATAAATAAATAAGTAAATAAAAGAGATGAGAAAGAGCTGCCCAGGTTGAGGTCACAGGTTCGCCTCATGCCCTTGCCTGTTCTCTAAACTATAAGCCTCACACACACCCTCACAGGCATTTTTATCTTGATTTCAGATAACCCTGATGACGTTGTAATAATAATAATAATAATTATCAACAGAAGTGGACCTTCTGTATTTCAGAATCTTGCATCACCACCACCACCACCACCACCACCACCACCAGCACCACCACCAGCACCACCATCATCATCATCATCAAATTAATAGCTAATCCTGGTCACTATGTTATTCCACACACTATTCTAAGGATTTAACTCATCTGACCTTCCTAACAGCAGGACAAGTTAGATCATTTGATTAAGGTCACATAGCTAGTAAGCTGGAATTTGAACCAAGGAAATCTGGCTGTAACACCCTCATTTTTTAAAACTTTTTTATTGAAGTAGAACATAGACATCGAAAAATGCGTAAACCATGAGTGCAGAGCCAGTGAATCTTCACACTGTAAGCACTCTCATTCAACTCACTCAATCCACACTCACTCAACCCAGCAACCGGAACAAGAAATAGAACACTGTCGGCCGGGCGTGGTGGCTCAAGCCTGTAATCCCAGCACTTTGGGAGGCCGAGACGGGCGGATCATGAGGTCAGGAGATCAAGACCATCCTGGCTAACATGGTGAAACCCCGTCTCTACTAAAAAATACAAAAAACTAGCCGGGCGAGGTGGGGGGCGCCTGTAGTCCCAGCTACTCGGGAGGCTGAGGCAGGAGAATGGCGTAAACCCGGGAGGCGGAGCTTGCAGTGAGCTGAGATCCGGCCACTGCACTCCAGCCTGGGCAACAGAGCGAGACTCCGTCTCAAAAAAGAAAAAAAGGAAAAAAAGAAATAGAACACTGTCAGCACCAGCAGCTTTTCGCTCCCCATCCAGTCCCCAAGGTAATCACTATCTTAACTTCTATTGCTATTGGATTAGTTCTGCCTTTTTCTTTTTTTTTCTTGTTTTTATTTATTTATTTACTTATTTATTTTTGAGGCAGAGTCTTGCTCTGTTGCCCAGACTGGAGTGCAGTGGTGCGGTCTCGGCTCACTGCAAGCTCCGCCCCACAGGTTCATGCCATTCTCCCGCCTCAACCTCCCGAGTAGCTGGGACTACAGGTGCCCACCACCACGCCTGGCTAATTTTTTGTATTTGTAGTATAGATGGGTTTTCACTGTGTTAGCCAGGATGGTCTCAATCTCCTGACCTCATGATCCACCCACCTCGGCCTCCCAAAGTGCTGGGATTAGAGGCGTGGCCACTGCGCCCGGTTGCCTTTTTCTTTTTAGAAAAAGGTCTTGCTATGTTGCCCAGGCTGGCCATGAACTCCTGGCCTCAACTGATCCTCTCACCTTGTCCTCCTAAAGTGCTGGTATTACAGGTCTGGCCTCAAGGAAAAATGAAACCAAGCATCTCTTACTGTGGAATGGAGTTAGACAGAGATAGTTATGTATCAAGTGCTTTAAGCAGGGGAAATGACAACAAATCACTTTAGTCATACTGTAGCAGTACCTGCATCCTATTTTTTATCTTATATACATGCGCCTTCATTGTAAACCATTATGCTCTCTCACTTAGTCCTCATGATGACCCTAGAGTCTAGAAAATAGCTTTGTCTCATGCCCATTTTACAGATGAGCAAATTAGTTCTCTGCAACAATTGAATAAGTTTCTTGAGACCCCACGTCAGTCCCAGCTACTTGCCCAGGGTGGTCTCACGTCAGTGTGCAGTGTAAGTGGGAGTCTCATCAAGATCTTTGAGGCTGACTGCACCATCTGCTGCCTCACCATCCATCCAGCCTGAGTTTCTGCTAGGAAACTCAGAAACACATTAGAGACTCAGGGATGTTTGTGTGAACAAATGGTCCCATTGCCCTAACTGCTCCAAAGCTTCCTACCAGAGGCCTATCCTTGCCTTTCCAGGGGACCCATCTACTCCAAAGTCCCCTCTCTGTTAAAACGACATGAGCTTCTGGTTGTTCTTCAAAATCTGCAACAAAGTCCCACCTCCTCATCTTTGCGCGTGCTTCCCCCTGCTGATGAGGGTCCACTCTGCCAGGTGCCTGCTTGGCTTCCTCCTTCACTGTTCCAATGTCACCTCCTGGACAAGGCTGACCCTGACCCCTGACTCTCTATCTGCATAACGTAGCCCATGGGCTCTCTTGTTCTTCTGCCTTTGTCTTGGAGTGCTTGTTCCATCTGACTCTATTCTACACATATATTTGTCTCCCTCTAGAATGTATGTGCCATGAGGGCAAAGTGCTGTTTTATTCACTGCTTTATTCCCAGGGCCCAGATTTACATGGCACACAGTAGGGACTCAATAAATCTTGAGTGGAAGGAAGACTTAGTTAGCACAGAACTTCTCCATCAAAATAAAAATAGCCTCCATGAAGGAAGGCTACCTAGAATTGTAAATCCACTGCTTTGCTCCCAGGGGCAGTATTGTGGACTTTTGCCAGGGTCCGATCTTTAGTTGTGACAAAGACCAGAGGTTGTGGGGAACATGGCCAAACCCAGTGAGGTAGCCCATCTGCTGGCCAGGAAGCCACGGAGGGCCTTCCCTATCCCCTCTCAGGCTGCTTCCCCTATGTCTGCAGCCAGCCAAAGTGCCCCACCCCAAAGCATCAGAGGAGAGAACCAGCCACCAACCCAGAGGTGACAATAGGGCTGCTGTGTGCTACGGGTCCTTGGGTAGGGCATGGGCTCAGGCAAATGAGCCAGAGCACACGCAGATATAGAGGCATGTGCGCTGGCTGCGCTCTGCTTCCACTCCGGTGCTTGCCAGCATGGAGGACAGCCTAAAGCAGCTCAGCCTGGGGAGAGATCCTGAGGGGGCAGGGGACAGCCAGGCCCTGGCTGAGCTCCAGGAGCTTGCCCTGAAGTGGTTCATGGAGACACAGGCCCCCTTCATTCTGCAGAACGGTGCCCTGCCTCCCTGGTTTCATGGATTCATCACCCGCAAGTAAGGCTGCTTCTGCCCACAGGTCCCTTATAGCCCACAGCCCCTTGGGGCTGAGAAAATGGTCTGGGAACTATGGATCAGACTGGTTCCTGTCCTTTCCCTGGGCTAGGCAGGGGCCCTTGGAGGCGGGGGGCAGGGGAACAGACTGAGGAGCACCATGTCCTCTGGTGGTGGCTTCTATAGGCAGAGTCGGGGAGGGCAACGGCCTCTACTTTAGTACAACTTGAGGATGGCTGGGGCTGCCAGGCTGCCAGAGAACAGAAAGAGGGCCAGGCGTGACTTGATGAGTAACTAGGGGACCATATCATGTATCGTCCAAACCAGAACACTATTAGTAACTAAGCTAGGAGAACTGTCATAAATGGGGCCATCCCAGGAAAACCTGGATGCACAGTTACCCTAGGTATAAAGGCCAAGATAGAGGTTTGGCTTTCTATATGGGCTGGGTCTCCAAGCAACCAAAACACCTGATGAAGGAATGACAAATCCAGCCAGTTCTTAGGTCCTGGCACAGTACCTGCACAGAGCCAGGGCCAGCTTTATGGGCACTGACTTGTGCAACAGCACAGGGTCAAAAAGGCTCCACATTTGATTTAATACTCTGCTGTCACTGTCTTGATATTCTAAATCATTTCGAACCAGGGGCCCCATGTTTTCATTTAGCACCTGGCCCTGCAAATGATTTAGCTGCATAGAGCAGGCACTCAGTATTTGGTGAGTAACTGAGTGAGGGAATATGTATCTGGTCTATGTACTGCCAAACCACAAGACAGGTGGAACTTTTCACCATGCCTCCAAAATATTTGGCACCATGTGGAAAATCTCTGTAGCTGCCTGGGATTGAAGGGGACAGGAAGAGGAATGAGTCCCTTTTAGCTGCTTCAGACATAGCAGCATCTTCTCCGTGCAGAAGCTCGTGTGTAGTGCACATCCTGTAGTACTGTACACAGTGGTTCTGAGGGAGGGACCCCCCACTAAACCTCAACATCTCCAGCTGTGTGGATTTATTCTTGCTGCACAACCATCCAGGTGGAGAGTGGGTGGCCAGGGTCAGCAACCAGTGTGCCTGCTAGTGAGGCTGCAGTGGGGAGTCGGGGGGTGCATATGACTTCAGACCCTGACCCAGCCCCAGACAGTCTTGAACTTAATCATTTGGGCCCAGATAGACCACATACTGAGCCCTGACAGGCCACAGACCAATCCATAGGTCTGAGTGGCTCCTCTATAAAGGGTTGGAGGTCTGGAACCCAAAGGCATGGCCAGCAGGGATTCCAAGAGAGGCCTAAGTCAGGCTGTACCTGCTGCTGTTAGGGCACAGACCCCAGCTAATGGCATGTCCTCTGCCCAGGCAGACGGAGCAGCTACTCAGGGACAGAGCTCTTGGTTCCTTCCTCATCCGCCTCAGTGACCGAGCCACCGGCTACATCTTGTCCTACAGGTAAGGGGAAGCCCTCTGGGCAAGCAAGCTCAGCCTGCCATAACCTAGCCTTGCAGATTAGTGCAGAGGCCCCACTGGCCCAAATTGCCTAGATTTCCCTGGGTCCTGACTCCTGACTCCTTCATTCATCCATCACATGCTCAGCAGACACTTCCTGAGCAGCACTGGCCGTATGCTATGGATGAAGCCACAGCCTTCAAAGGAGGTGAGTGGGAGTTGGAGGAGGCTTCACAGAGGTGAACTTTGAGCCTAGGATAGAAGAAAGAATACAAGTTGCTAGGCAGAAAGGAGGGTGTGGTTGGGGTTTAGAAGGGCATCTCTGGTAGATGGAATGCCATGTGCAAAAGTACAGAGGCATGAAAGACAAGGGTGCTGGGGGAGCTGCAGGTTGCTGGGTGCAGCAGAACACTTGGTTCCTTTGGAGGAATGCCTGGAGGGGAGGGTGGGAGAAGCTTAGAATGGCCTTGGATGCCTAGCTAAGTCTGTAGACCCTGAAGGATGATCTGGTTTGCTGTATTTGCATAGGTCCTTTAGGCAGCTTATGGAGAGAGGACTGGAAGTCAGAGCTGGAGGTGTGGGGGCACTGGGGACTCCTGCAATTGCCTGAATGTGAGATAATGAGGTCTGGGCTAGGATAGGGTAGTGGGGATAGAGAGAAGGAGACAAGGTAGCCAGGACAAAGGCAGAGATGGTGATGTCGAATCTTGTCCCAAGAGTAGGTCGGTTGGAAGGGGAAATTCAGAGGAGGTAAGAAGATTTCTCTAAGTAGGGAGGGAGGCCAGGGCTCCAGGGTGAACTTAAAAGTCTTCAGATTCTGATTCAAAATTGTCACATATTCAGACTGCCCCAGTTCAAACGCTGACCTTGAGCAAGTTACTTTGCTTGTCTGTTCCCCCGTTTCCTCATTTGTAAAATGGGAATATGATAGTCCCTGCTTCATAGGATTGATGAAAGTGTGCAATCAGTTGATACATTTAAAAGTGCTTGGCACAATGCATATAATGCAGTAAGGACTTTAAATAAATGTTAGTCGTCATTAAAATATTTTTATTCTATGTGCCAGACACTGTGCTAGGCATTTTGAAATATACTAACTCAGTAGTTTTCAAATGTCTTTTGAGCTTTGGGGATTTTTTCTTTTGTTTTGTTTCTTCCCAAATAAGATCTTAGGGAGAATACTAACTTATAAAAGAGACCAAAGTGGGACCGCTCAAAGGTATACAAATAGAAAAGGGGAACAGAAAAGAGTCCCAAAACAGTCCCAAATGTTTGGTTACCAGATTTCCAACAGAGGCATCACGGCAATTCTGTGGGGGAAAGGCTTGCTTTTTCAATAATTGGTGCAGGAGCAATTGGATATCTAAATGGAAGACAATTACTGCTACCTCATACCATACACAAACATTAATTAATTCTAGATGGATTGTAGATCCAAGAAAGAAAAGCAAAACAATACCATTTCTAGAAGGAAACAGAAAAACATTGTCATAGGTAAATGAAAATACCTTTGAAAATGAGAGGCCAAGATTTTTTAAACAGGACACAAAAAGCACTAATCTTAAAAGAGTGATTAATATGATTTCCTTAAAATTAAGAATTTTTAAAAATTTATTTATTTATTTGCGACAGAGTCTCACTCTCCTGCCCAGGCTGGAGTGCAGTGGTGCGATCTCTGCTCACTGCCACCTTTGCCTCCCGGGTTCAAGCAATTCTCCTATCTCAGCCTCCCAACTAGCTGGGACTACAGGCACACGCCACCATATCCAGCTAATTTTTGTATTTTTAGTAGAGACGGGGTTTCACCATATTGGTCAGACTGGTCTCTATCTCCTGATCTTGGGTGATCCACCTGCCTCGGCCTCCCAAAGTGCTGGGATTACAGGCGTGAGTCACCGCACCTAGCCAAAATTAAGAATTTTTATAATTAAAAGATATTATTAAGAGAAGAAAAAGATCAGTGTGCAGTCTTGAATAAGTTATCTATTAGAATACAAATATCTAACAAAGGACTCAAATCCAGAATATATAAAGAACTCCTACAAATAAATAAGACAAAAACAGATAATTCGATAAATAAAAGCAAAAGAACTGAGCACTTTACCAAAAAGAAAAACCCAGAAGGCCCATGTTCAGCATCATTAGCTGTCAGGGAAACACAAATTAAAGCCACATTGGCTGGCTATAATGGAAAGACAGAATATGTGGAACAACTGGAGCTCTCATACATTGCAATAATTTTATTTTATTTTTGAGATGGAGTTTCACTCTTGTCACCCAGCTGGAGTGCAATGGCACGATCTCGGCCCACTGCAACCTCCGCCTCCCAGGTTCAAGCAATTCTCCTACCTCAGCCTCCCGAGTAACTGGGATTACAGGCAACCACCACACACCAGCTATTTTTTTGTTTGTTTGTTTTTTAAATTTTTAGTAAAGATGGAGTTTCACCATATTGATCAAGCTTGTCTTGAACTCCTGACCTCAAGTGATCTGCCTGCCTGGGCCTCTCAAAGTGCTGGGATTATAGGCATGAGCCACTGTGCCCAGCCCATTGCAATAATTTTAGAAAGCAATTTGGCATGATTTACTAAAGCCAAATACAGGTGTACCCATGACCCATCAACTCTATTCCTTGGTATATTCTCGTCAGAAATGAGTACATATTCACCAAAAGATATGTACAAGAATGCTCACAGCAACTTTATTCATAACAGCCCAGATCTGGAAACAACCTAAATGTCTATCAACAGAATAGGTACGTGGTGGATTTTTCATTAATTAGAATACTACATATAAATGAGAAAAAAAAAAAGAAACTAATTCTACTTGGACATGAATCAGTCTCCAAGATACAATGTTGAGTGAAAGGTGCTAGACACAAGAGACGTATTATAGAAGTTCTCTAATGGACTAGACTAATCTATGCTGATAGGCGTCAGAATGGTGGCTACCTTTGGGGGGCATTGACTGGACGGGAGTGCAAGTAGGTCTTCTGGGGGCTGGAAAGGTTTTATATCTTGATCTGAGTGGCAGTTACATGGGAGGGTTCCTATGTGGAAATTCATCAAACTGCACATTTATGATGTATGCACATCATTGTGTAGACGTTATTTTTCTAGAAAAAGGAAGATGAAGAGGGTGAGATTTTAGGGTGGGACTTTACAGGCCGAAGAGGGAGTGGGAGCTGGAACTCCATCATTGCAGCAGGGTGGGGAGTAGGGGGAGGTTGAGTTGTACAGGTGTAGGGTTAGATCCTGTCTTTATTTAGAACTTTGGTGTTTTGTTCATTGTGGATTTTTTTTTCATATATTTTGATTTTCTAAAATACTGCGTTATTAGTTTTCTTGATTGAGTTTTTTGGTGCTCCTGTAAATTTCGCACCCAAGATGAGTGCCTCACTTGCCTCACTCCAGTCGCAGCTGTGCCTTCCCTGACTCCACCAGAGCAGGCTTAGGTACTTCCCAAGATCCCAGGGCTTCATGGTTTGAAAACCTCTCCGTAGCTTCCTGACGAACACACCATGGCTCCAAGTGGGGTACAGTGGCCCCAGGTCAGGCAGGTCTGTTCTGGATCAAGAGCTGGGACCCCTCTCCTGCACCCAGGCACAGAGCTCAGACCGTGGGCCAAGGCTGGGCTGCCTTGTGTTGCAGGGGCAGCAATCGTTGCCGACACTTTGTCATCAACCAACTTCAAAACCGGCGTTACATCATCTCAGGAGACACCCAGAGCCACAGCACCCTGGCTGAGCTTGTGCACCATTACCAGGAGGCACAGCTTGAGCCCTTCGGAGAGATGCTGACTGCTGCCTGCCCCCGGGTAGGCGCCCCATTTCCCCAGGGTGAAGGTGGCTGGGCAGGGAGCCCAGGCCTGGGGTATCCATCACTCAGGCATACCCCTTTTCAAGCCCTCCCTATTTACTATCATCCAGGGGCACTCGGTGTGGGGTCATGATCCCTATTGGAAAAAGGGAGACTGTGGCGATGTCTTACCTGAGGTCAGGAACCCGGTGGGAATGTTGCAGTTTCTTACCAGCAGTCTCAGGTAGGCTCTGGAGACTGGCTGGGCCTGTGTGACCACATATCTGCTGTATCCCCATACACCCAGCCAGAGGACAATGATATGTATGATGCCATCACCCGGGGCCTCCACCAGACCATCGTGGACCCAGAAAACCTGCCTGCCATGGTATCCCCCACAGTGGTCCCAGACAAGGCCGCCAGCCCCCGCTCATCTCCAAAGCCCCAGGTCTCCTTCCTCCATGCAGAGAAGAGTCTGGATGTGAGTCCCCGGAACCTCTCCCAGGAGGAAAGCATGGAGGTGAGAAGCATTATGGGCCACCTAGAGTCAGGGTTGCCAGATCAGGGATGTGGGTGCCATGCTCCTAGTCAGACCCTGAGGCCAGGCCAGCCACTCCCTCCGGCTGTAGAGGGTGAGCCAGGCCCAGAGGTGCAGACTCATCTTGGAATCACCCAGGGTTCACCCGTGCCATTGCCTGCCTCTGGCTAGTTAGATTTGGTTCAAGCCTTGGCTTGGCCATTTTCTAGCGATGTGGCTCTAGGCGAGTCACATAATTTCTCTGAGCCTCAGTTTACCATGCCTGAGGTTCTTGTGAAGCTTGAATGAGAAAACGGATATGAAATGCCTGAACATCCCTTAGTAAGCTGTAGTGTGGGGTGCCTGTGAGTCAGTATTTTATTCTTCTCCATAGCACCCCATGGACTCAGAAAGATTTTTTTTTTCTTTTCTTTTCTTTTTATTTGTTTGTTTGTTTCTGTTCGTTTTTGTTTTTGTTTTTGAGATGGAGTCTCGCTGCATTGCCCAGGCTGGAGTGCAATGGTGCAATCTCAGCTCACTGCAATCTCCGCCGCCTCCTGGGTTCAAGTGATTCTCCTGCCTCAGCCTCTCGAGGAGCTGGGATTACAGGCACCTGCCACCACATCTGGCTAATTTTTGTATTTTTAGTAGCAACAGGGTTTCAACATATTGGCCAGGCTGGTCTTGAACTCTTGACCTCAAGTGATCTGCCCGCCTTGGCTAAAGTGCTGGGATTCCAGGCATGAGCCACTGTGCCCAGCCTTTTTTACTTTTATTTTTGAGACAGAGTCTCACTCTGTTACCCAGACTAGAGTGCAGTGGCACCATCTTAGATCACTGCAATCTCTGCCTCCTGGATCCAAGTGATTCCCCTGCCTCAGCCTCCTGAGTAGCTGGGATTACAGGTGCACGCCACCATGCCCGACTAATTTTTTTTTTTTTTTGTATTTTTAGTAGAGACAGGGTTTCGCCATGTTGGCCAGGCTGGTCTCAAACTCTTGACCTCAGGTGATCTGCCTGCCTCGGCTCCCAAAGTGCTAGGATTACAAGCGTGAGCCACCGTGCCCGGCCAAAAGATTTTTCTTTATATCAGATCACAGCATGCCAACGGCTTTTCCTCATATTTAGAATAAAACCTAAACACTTCACCAGGGCCCACAAGAGCCTCACCAGATGCCCTGCTACCCCCTGCTTCTTCACTGGAGGCTTCAGTGAGGCCTTTTCTCTGACTTCTTTGGCCTTCTAGATCATCCTTGAACATACCAACCTTGCTCCCACCTCAGGGCCTCTGCACTGGCTCTACTGTCTGCCTGGAATGCTCTTCCTAGAAGATACCCGCATGGCTTACACTCTTAACTGCATTCCATTCTTTTCTTAAATATCACCACCTCAGAAAGGCCCACCTATGACAGAAAATGTTGCCTTCCCCACCTGCCATTCTCTCTATCCCATGACCCTGCTTCATTCTTTGTAGCACTGATCATGCCCCCACACTCCGTTGTCTTGTGATATATTCGCCCATCATATAGCACATCAAACCATATTGTGCTACACAGCGCAGCAGTATGCTGCCCATCTCCCAGATTAGAATATAAATTCCCAAGAGTTAGTCTTGCTCACCAGAGTCCTTGGCACCTAGGACAGTGTTTGGCACATAGTTGATGCTCACTAAATATTTGTTAAATGAGTGATGGGACTTGGAGATGGACCATTCTGAAGGGAAATACAGCAGTGAGTGGGTTTGGGGGCACGGAGGGAACAGTGGACCACAATGGAGGTGGGAGGAGGTGGGAGGAGGGGAGGGAAAAATTGGGTGGGAGGTAGAGCTGGTGACCTGAAGCCTTGAATGCCAAGGTAAAGTACGAGTCTTAGGTCGGGTGGGGTGGTGGCTCACACCTGTAATCCCAGCACTTTGGGAGGCCGAGACGGGTGGATCACCTGAGGTCAGGAGTTTGAGACCTGCCTGGCCAACATTAGGAAACCCCATCTCTATAAAAATACAAAAATTAGCTGGGCATGATGGTGGGAGCCTGTAATCCCAGCTACTCAGGAGGCTGAGGTGGGAGAATAGCTTGAACCTGGGAGGCAGAGGTTGCAGTGAGCCAAGATCGCACCACTGCACTCTAGCCTGGGCAACACAGCGAGACTCCATCTTAAAAAACAAACAAACAAAAAAGAACAAGTCCTAGAGCATGAGAGCTGGAAGGGACCCTGAGTGTCATGTATCCAACCCTTGCATGTACAGGCAGGAAGACTATAACCAAGACAGGGGGCCTCGGCTTATCTGAGAGAGTTTTTACTGGAGGGCATCTTAGTGATGGGCTGCCCCTTAAGAGTTTCTCTGTCCCTGTCTCCTCAGGCTCCCATCAGAGTGCCCCCACTCCCTGAGAGGAGTTCCTCCCTCCTGGAAGAGTCTTTTGGAGGCCCCAATGACATCATCTATGCAGACCTGAGGAAGATGAACCAGGCACGGCTAGGCTTGGGCACAGAGGGGTCCAGCAGGCATGCACCAGTTCCAGCTGGCAGCCAGGCCTACTCCCCAGGCAGGGAGGCCCAAAGGAGACTCTCAGATGGAGAACAGAATAGGCCTCATGGCCTGGTGCCTGTCCTCTCTGGGGTGAGCCCAGACCAGGGTCCCACAGAGTCTCCCACTTCCTGGGGGTGTTCTAATGCCATGGGATCCCTGGGGGCTACCTGGAGGCAGGAGTTTCCAAAGCTGAGCCAAGAGGCTCAGCCCTGCTCCCAGGGCAGCTCTGCAGATATCTATGAGTTCATTGGGACACAAGGCCCCCTGCAAGAGGCCAGGGACACACCAGACCAAGAAGGCAGTACCTATGAGCAGATCCCAGCTTGCTGGGGTGACCCAACCAGGGCCCCAGATCCTGGGGCCAGTCCCACATCTAGCCCATGGGTACATGGGCCTATGGACCATGGCTACAAGAGGATCTCAGGGCCCCCAGGGCTCCCAGAGCCTGGGAACACCTATGAGCAGATCCCAGCAACCAAGAGCAAGGAGACTGGACGGATGCACAAGGTGAGCTCCATGACGGGATGGGGCGGCTCCCAGCCCTTAGAGAGCACCTGGTGGTAGGAGACAACCTGTAGCCCCCAGGCATAGGCAGGTCAGGTCACCGCCACTGCCTGCAAGTGCACAGAATTTTCCAGCCCTAACATCTGCCTGGAAATGGTGGTGGTGGTGGTGGTGGTGGGAGAGGCAGCTGCTAGATTTGGATGTAAGACAGGGGCTTCCAGGCTCTTCTAATAGGGGCATTCTCTACAATAGATCAGCCTCTGCAGGGGTCTCAGAGCCTCTGGGTGCAGGAGAACAGCCCCTTTGCCCCTACTCCCTCGCCCTGTAGCTTTGGGCAAGACAAATTCCAGGACAACCAGTTAAACCTGAATTACAGATAAACAACATTTTTGAGGCCAGGCATGGTGGCTCATGTCTGTAATCCTAGCCCTTTGGGAGGCTGAGGCAGGTGGATTGCTTGAGCTTGGGAGTTTGAGACCAGCCTGGGCAACGTGGCAAAATACCATCTCTACGAAAAAATACAAAAAATTGCCAGGCATGGTGGCCTGTAGTCTCAGCTACTTGGGGGGCAGAAGCAGGAGGATCGTTTGAACCTGGGAGGTTAAAGTTGTGATGGGTCCAGATTGCGCCACTGCACTCCAGTCTGGGAGACAAAGTGAGACTCTGTTTAAAAAAACAAACAAAAAAACCAAACCAAAACAAAAACCATTTCCAAGTATGTCTCAAATATCACAATTATTCCTTTGTTTATCTGAAATTTAAACTTAACTGGGCATCTACATTCTTGTTTAGCAACCCCACCCGGGACCTCCATTTCCTCATCTATAAAATGGGCTGATCCTCTGCTTGTATCCAGGGGCAGGTGCCCAGAGGATAGTGCTAGACATCCTCTCCTGCTCAGGACACAGCCCAGAGAGGGCTCTTGATGAACACAGCTATTATTCTGAGGATCTCTGTGGTGGTGGTGGTGGGAGAGGCAGCTGCTAGATTTGGGTGTAAGCTGGGGGCTTCCAGGACCTTCTAAGGACTTTCTCTGCAGCAGACCAGGGGTCCTTTCCCCTCCCTCTTGGTTTCTACAGGGGTCTGCTAAGTAAGGAGGAGAGGGGACCAGGAGTGTGGAGAGCGGTGGCCAGGAGTGGGGCTGGTCCAGGGTTCTCAGGGAGGCAGATGAACTCTCTGGAGCCCTCAGTCCCAACTGCACTCTGCCTATACCCGGAGACAATAAAACCTGGGAGACCCTTCCCCAGGGGCAAGTCCTCTGATCTCAGTCAGGCACACACAGATCTTCCAGCTGGATTCCTGGTGGAAAGATCTTCCCGGGAAGTGCTGACGGCTCCTCCTTCAGGACAGGGCTGTGCCCCCATACCCCATGGATAGAAGCCTTTGAGATCCTGACTCTCCGGGGACCACGGATCCAGCAGTGGACAGTCCTGAGACCCTCAGAAGCCACATCCCATGTCTGCTCTTTCCCTGTGGCTGCCCCATGTCCTCTCCCATCTCTGTGGGCCTGGGTACAGCCTCACCCCACCCTACCTTCGACACCAGTGCATCCTGAGGCCCCCAGCTGCGGGTCAGGGGAGACCAGGGCACTCCAGGGAGGTAAGGTGAGGCTCGCCACCCTTTCTACACTCCTCCTTCCCCTCCTGTCCTTCGCCAGAAGAGGGTGAACCCTGCATCCAAAATTGGAGAGCTAAAGGTGGGATTTCAGGCACCGGGAGAGGCTTGTAGAATCAACCACCAGAATTCTAACCTGGCCTCATGTTCTGGGCTTGGGCCCCCAACCCAAGGTCAATGAGGGGTCCTCGGAGCCTGGGTCTTTCCCTCCCTGTCCAGTGACCCCAGGCCCCAGTATCTCCTCCTTCCTTGCAGCCTGACAAGCTTCGGAGGCTCTTCTTCACGGACAGGAAGCACAAATTCTGAGGGCCTGGCATCTGGCAGCCCACCAGTGGGTTTCCTGGTACCCAGGCCATGCCAGGGGTTATCGCAAAGCCCTCAGCTCATTTGAAGGCACCCTTTGGATCTTCAGACTCATCCAGCCTACTACAGAACTAGGCTTCGAGACAGCCAAGGTGCCTGCCTGAGAGCAGGTGGAAGAGGACCTTCCAACCACCTGCAGCTCCTGGCTACGTCCTGCTTTCCTTGTGCCTCCCATCCATGCATAGGAGGGAATCAAGGCTGGAGAGGAGTGACACTGGCCAAAGGCAAGGGTCAGCACCCCCATTTCCCAGATGAGCATTCTGAGGCCCAGGCAGACTGACTGAACCTGCCTCCCACTACTGAGCACTTACCGAATGTGTGACAGGCTGTGTGCTAGGACAGACACCTTTCTAACTGGCCAAGTGACATCATGCAATTGCTATTGAGAAAACCAATTCCCCTCCTTGTGGCCCCATCAGCAAAAAGGAGGGGAGGGCCAGAAGCCACATCCTCTGCTTCAGGCCTCTTCACTCCAGCTATGCCCTCAGGTCAGGCTGGCTCTTCCTGGAGCTCTGTCCCTCAGGAAACTTCCTGTTTGTGTGTCACTTCCCTTCCTATCCACATTTCCCATTCTCTATAAGGGTGGACAGCTGGCTTGCTGCCCCGCTCCCCACTACCCCAAGCCCGGGATGCAGAAAACAGGACTGATCATCTCCAGCGACAACACCAGAGGTACCCCTCCTCCCTGCCCTGACCCTGGGCAGAGCTGGCTCAGGTCGCATTTGTGGGAAATCTACCCTAGTGACCACTTGGCTCTGCAGCTTTTCCTGAAATATAGGCCTGTAAGAGTCCCTCCCTCCTTGGGGGTTGTAAGGATTGAGACTGAAGCAACTGTCCCTGTGCCTGAGTGGTTAGCACTCCTGAATGTTAACCAGAGATACTGTCAGGGAATTTACAGAAGGTTTGGGGCATGGATGTGTCTTCTTCCCGACGGCACACGCACTGAAATCAAAGCTAGTGCCTAAAGCAGGAGGCACTGCCTGATGCTGAGAGGTGAGACGCCAATGGTGGGATTTCAAGGATCAGAAGCAAAGGTACCCTCAAACATTTCCTAACATTAGCAGACATGGAGAGCACAGGGATGCAAAAGTGTTTTACTACCAGGAGTTCACACATCTGTGGACAGCACATACCAGTGAGGATTCCATGGTGTTGGGGAGGGCAGGCAGGGTAGTACTCATGACCCAGAGGCAGAGACAGGGGCAAGAGCCCTTCGGCCCACTGTGCCCACAGCTTCACATTGTGAAGGAGGCCAGGAGAAGAGGAACAGGCAGGGGTGAGGAGCAGCCCAACCTTGGGTTTTGGAAAAAGATTGCATAGCTCATTAAAACCCTGACCTCTTTTTTTTTTTTTTTTCCATTCTGTCCTGGGTGACCAGGGTGTCTGCCAGCACTTGGACACGTCAGACCCCACCACCTCCTGTTGGGTTATCTGCCTTTCCCTTTGAGGGGTGGGGAGCATTTCTGGAGTGGGAGAGGACTGGGGCATGGGGCGGGGTGCAGAGGGTCTGGAGAGGGGTCATGGGTCCTCGGGCTGGGCCACAGAGGGGCTGTGGGAAGGGTCCTAACCCTCACACGCCCCCTTCCTGGTTAAGTCTGTTTTTTGCTGAAAGGGCCACAGGAAATATTCGTGGTGTGAACCCCAGAGGCTGCCACTGCTTTCCTGGGGAACTTGGAGGCCACACCCATGTGACCGCAGGGCAGGACGGTGGACTTCCAGGCCCCTGCAGCCTCGGCAGTGTCCTCAGATCCGGATGTGGAAAGTGCTGGAAAGAGAGAAAGGGCAAGAGAGGGTGAGAGGCCCTGGGTTGGGCAGGTAAAGGCTCCTCAGGGAAAAGCACAGCAGGCCCCAGGCCCACGCTGGACAGCACCTCAATAGGGAACCCTGCATAGTGGATGCAAGTAATCAATACTGAGGGAAGGCAGGCTTGGAGGGACAGCGGTGCCCAGGGAGTTCTGTCCCCAGTTATCACTGAAGGGGCCCCCAGGTCTTCCACCATCCCCCTTGCAGGGGACAAAGGCCAGTCACACGTCTAGGGCAAGGGTGCCTTGAACGTGACCTCCTGCTTCCTGGTCACACACCACTGCTCACAAACAGCGAGTGACAGGGGCTTAGCCCCAACATCCCAGCCTGCCCTGCCCTGCCCAAGCCCGGCCCCTGTAGTGGCAGCACCTGAGGAAGTCAGGGGCCTTGGCAATCATGTCCTCGAAGTCAGCAAAGCCCAGCTTGCCATCACCATCCAGGTCAGCCTCCTCAATGACCTTGTCGCACACAAGCACCACCTCCTCCTCATCCAGCTCTGACTTAGTGAGCCGGGCCAGCGTCAGCTCCAGGTCTTCCTTGCAGATGAAGTTGTCAGTGTTGAAGTCTGTGGGGTGGGGGTTGGACATGTTCAAGTCCGGGTTGCGTGCACCCAGGGACCCCTACACTCCCAGCTGGTCCCACTACCTCCACCAGCTTCTGATGTCCCCAGAGCATCTCCATGCACACTCTCGGGACACTGGATCCCAGCCCCCAAGAGGGCTCACCCACCAGGCATAGCTTAGACACCCACATCCACCACCCACAACAACCCCACAATGACTAAACCACATCCTGAAACAAGTCAAAAGTCCAAATCTGAGGTTTCCTGAGAACTTCAGGCTTAGGCCAGATAGCCCTTCCTGGCCTTAGCCCACAGTGGACCCTGTGTTCCCTTTAGACTTCTAGAGCTAAGGAAACTAAGGCCCAAAAAGGCCATGTGATTTAATCAAGGTGGGAGAGCCACTCGGAGATGGAGCAGGGATTCTGACTGGGGCCTATGTGACTCTAAGACCCAAGTTTTCTAAACCGCACCATGTTGCTTCAGTGGTGTGTGGCCAGGAGACACAATGGGTCAGGAGACTCAAAATCAAAAGGTCCTTAGAGAGGGGCCTATGCCTGGCATTAGTGCACACAGAACAGGGAACATGGTTTGATTCTACCCAGAAAAAGGCACTATTACTGCCCCAAAGGATAGCAAAATGGTTCAGAGGACCAAGCCATGCGTGGCTGCATCAAAGCAAATTCTCTCTCCTTACATTTTCAGCCCAACTACCAGATCTGCACATGTGCTGTTTCTTCTGCCTGGGGTCCCTTCCCAGCAAACTCCTGGTCATCCTTCAAATTTTGGCTCACACATCACCTCCCAGTGGCAGGGCTTTCTAGCAACAAGGGTCCTCTCCCCTGCAGATGAGCTTCTCGTGCCCACTGGCAAACTCTGACATTAATGTTAGTGGCAAAGACCCATCATGTGAGCATTACATGCTCTTTCTCATTTAATTTTCAAAACAAGACTATGAGGCAGGCACAATTGAATCCCCACTATACACATGAAGAAACAGAGAGGTGGCCAGGTGCGGTGGCTCACGCCTGTAATCCCAGCACTTTGGGAAGCTGAGGCGGGTGGATCATGAGGCCAAGAGATTGAGACCGTCCTGGCATACATGGTGAAACCCCGTCTCTGCTAAAAATACAGAAAAAAAAAAAAAAAAAAAAAAGCCGGGCCTGGCGGCAGACGCTTGTAATCCCAGCTATTCAGGAGGCTGAGGCAGGAGAATGGCATGAACCTCGGAGGCAGAGCTTGCAGTGAGCCAAGATAGCGCCACTGCACTCCAGCCTGGGTGACAGAGCAAGACTCTGTCTCAAAAAAAAAAACCAAAACAACAGAGGTGAAAAGGAGAGGTACCTGCTTGAGGTCACATCCCTGGTCATTGTTGGACCCTGGAGCCCAACAATGACTTGGGGGTGACTCTGCCCTATCTCTGCAGAGGCCTGGGCACAACTCTAGGGTAGGCATCAGGGGAGATTCATCTGTGCCCTTGGCATGGGACATAGCAAATCTCTGGAAAGATTTGCTGGCTGGCTGGCTGGCTCAATTGCTGTGGCCATTTAACATGAGTAAACTGAGGCTCAGAAGTAAGATGATCCTTGTTGCAAATGAGGCCCCAGGCCTCCCCAGCACCAGACTAGGAGGGCCCTGGCTGCCTCTCCCCACTCCACCCCCAGCCTAGGGCAGCAAGGAAGCCACAGTTCTTCCATGTGTTCCTGTGCCCACCCGGTCCATGCGATCTGCACTCCCCTGTCTTGGGCAGACAGCAGCCCATCCCAGGAGCAATGCTGTGGGGTCCAAGACTGGGCAGATGTTGGGTGGAATCTGAGAAACATTTTACATGACCCATGTGGGCATAGTTCGTGGAGGGTAGACTGGCAGGTATTTTCTTTCTGATATGCAAGCAAAACGTGGGTGCACAGACAGAAACCAAAGTCCTCTGAAATAAACATAACTAGAACGTGAAACATAACTAGAATGTGAAACATCAGTCCGGGCGCGGTGGCTCAGGCCTGTAATCCCAGCACTTTGGGAGGCCGAGGCAGGCAGATCACCTGAGGTCGGGAGTTCGAGACCAGCCTGACCAACATGGTGAAACCCCATCTCTACTAAAAATACAAAAATTAGCCAGGTATAGTGGCAGAACCTGTAATCTTAGCTACTTGGGAGGCTGAGGCAGGAGAATCGCTTGAACCCGGGAGGTGGAGGTTGCAGTGAGCCAAGATCACGCATTGCATTCCAGCCTGAGCGACAGAGTAAGACTCCGTCTCAAAAAAAATTAAAAATAAATAAATAAATAAATAGAAAAAAAGAAAGTGAAATGTCAGCCCCTGATAGACCCTGCTGCCTTGGGATCCAGTGTCTGATCAAAGGTGCTGAGGACAGGAGGTTTGACCTTGACTCTTCAGGTCCAGGTTAGGTCCCAGCCCCTTCCTGGGCCTTAGCCATCTCAACTGAGGTCTGTCTGAGGATTTGACACCAGTCCCCATGGGTCTGTCAGGCCAGCACAGGGGATGAGCTTGTGGGTATGAAGTTTTCTCCCTATGGCTGTGGGAGAAGCGTGAGTCCCTGGCTCATGAGTGCCTGCTGCCCTCTGATGGCTGGTGAGACAGCAGGCCCGAGGGCAGGGCTGGGTGGGGTGAACCCAGGCGGCCCTACCTCTGGCAGTGTTGGGGGGCTCCGGAGGCCCCCCTGCAGGCCTGGCCTCACCACCATGGCCTAGGCAGCCTCTCTAGCTCCTCCATTTTACACCTCAAAGCTGCTGAGTGATCTTTCCAGAAAACAGAGCTGCCCTTCCCCACTGGAAACCTTGCAGGGGCCCTGGTGTCCAGAGCACTAGGTCCAAATTCTGTGGCTGGCCCCAAATTCTCTTCAGACTCATACCCCCGTCCCACCACCTTTCAAGTTCCTCCCATCTCCTTACCAAGCTCTGCGCTTCCCTGGGTCTGCATGGGTTGCGCCCTCTGTCAGGTCTGCCAGTCCCCACTTCTCTAGTCCAAGCCTCTGCTAGTCCCTGCTTAAAGGTCATGCCTGGGACCCCTCTCACACTAACCACCCGACCTGGGGTTGGCGAGTCCCTCCCTCCTCTGTTCTCAGGAACCCCACAGATGTCTCTCAGGGACTGATCGTCTCCCCTGGCCACCCCACTGGATAGGCACTCTTCAGAGGACAGATCAGCTTCACTGTTCTTGGTGTCCCCAGGGCAGGAGCCAGCAGTAACCAGACAGCCTGAGGGCCCCACATGCTGCCCACCTCACATTCACGGCCCCCTCATCTAGCCCTGGTTACCATAGATCTTGAAGGCATAGTTTGCCTTGAGCTCTCGGGGAGCCGACTCGCAGAGCACGGAAAACATGTCCACAAAGTCGTTGAAGGTGAGGTTCCCCTCACCATCCTCGGAAAACGCCGCCACGATCCTTTCTTTGAAGGGATTCTCCTGAAGGAAACACACACAGCAATCACTGTGGGTGCAGGATAATCAGGAGGGCCCTGGAGCCAGACTGTGGACAGCCTGTGTGACCCTGGAGGAGTGACCAAATCCCTCTGA